ACACACACACACACACACACACACACACACACACACACACACTCAAAGACAGTCATGGGTTGAATTTACACAATTATCTTAACTGCTTAGTGACCACCATTGTTGCTGCCCAAAGCATAGAGCCAGGCACTTTGGTAGCATTATTGTTACCTCTACAAATCTGTGAAAGAGGCTATTATTTCCACTGCATGTAAGAGGAGACTAACACCTGGAGGTGTTATATAAGTATGTGAGGTCAAACAGCAAGTCTGAAGGCAGAACTGAGATTCCAACTCAAGGATTTCTGACTTAAGCCAGTGCTTACTACTCTAGGCAAAAATCAGGGGTGATTTGCTTGTGTCTGCTGCTTACAAAGGTAGTGAAATCAGCACGCAGATTTGCAATTGAGCTCATGCCTATACACATAGCATTAAAAAATAATAATTGTAGCTTTAGGTTTCTCACTACATTCTTTGAGTTTATGGTGACTCCTGGCTGAGAGGAAACTATAATCATTACAAAAAAGGGCTGGAGTTTGTTCACCAGCCTTGAAAAAATCTGGTTAAAAAAGCAAAAGCAAGTTTTCTTTTCCCTGAAAATGTGTTCTTCCTGAATTATTCATTGACTCTGTAGTGACCTGAGCCACTTCCCATGCTAACCCTGGATTTTTCCAAAAGAGGTGAAGTTTGTTGCACCACTGGGGCAAGAGACCGAGACAGAAAGCTGCACTGTCTGAGGATGTCAGAAAGGAGGCAGTTGGCCTTCAGGGCCCCCTGTCCTTCCTTAGGGTGCTTCTACCCGAGGCCTGGTTCAAACCACTCTGCTTTTTTCTCCTCTTCAGAGTCTCAGCCTCTGTCCTCAGAGCCTGATTGTCGACTCATCACAGGCAGAGGCCTTAACAGTGAGGTGAAATAACATTACCTCATGTCTGTTTGCCACTGCAAAATCCCTTGGTATAGACCCCCAAACTGAAACCAAAAGTGAGACCCTCTTGGATCCCTGTGCCCAGCATAGAGGCACATGTGTGGTCAGAAAGGGGTGTTGGGAGCTGCTTGGAACCCTGTACCCTCTCTACTCTTTGACAGGGACCACGATCCTGAGTGGCCTCCTCAGGTCCTAGTGGAATCTGTTTTTTTCCATATGAAAATATCTGTTACTGCTTTTCTTTTTCTTACAGTAAAATCTATGCCTACTGTGAAAAATAAGAAATACTTGAGAAGTGAAGAGAAAATGTAATAACCACCTCAGAGCTTATCCATCTTGAGATTTTGGGCATTTATCCACTGTACTAGTCAGCTTTCCTGACACCTGGAACTTAAATGAGGAGAGATCTAATTGGCTCAGCTCACATTTTCAGAGGATTCGGTCCTTGGTCTTCTGGCTCCAAGGCAGGAACATCATGGAGGGAGGATGTCGCAGAGCAAAGCTGCTTAGTTTATGGCAGCCAGGAAGTAGAACGGAGGAAGAGAGCCAGAGAGGAGGGGCCAGGGACCAGATCAGCCCCCAAGGCCACGCCTCCATGACGCACCTAGACACACCCAAAAAGGGGCTTTGTGAATCCCCAGCAGCTCCCAAGCCAATTAAATTAACCCAGTTAAGTTTGACTACCACATCCTTCCAGATATTTTTTGAGAAAGATAGAATTGGGCCTATGTTTATATATATGTAAATATATATACACTTCAAATGTGTGGAGAATACAATTGTTAGTAGATCTCTATGGCACCTCTACATCTACACATATCTCACTGCGTGGATGCACCGTTATGTGTTAGCCGACACTTAAATACCAAATTGTTTTCACAGTTTCACTATAATAAAAAACGTGGTGATGAGCACCCTTACACATACATTCTATGCTCCTGCCTGCATGATTTTCATCATTTAAATTCTCAGTTGTGGCATTGCTAAGGCAAAGCTTCTTTTTAAAGTTTTTGGTAAATGTTGCCAAATTCACCTTAAAAGGAGTATTCAGATTTACACATTGACAGGACTCCTGTGTCCACCTCTTTGCTGGGAATTACCTGTTTTTAAAGTGTACAGTTAGAACATGTGAAAAGCCCCAGGAACCCCCTCCCCACCTATCCATCCACCCACTGCCCCTCTCCACTGCTTTTCCTGGATTCCTGAATTCTCTCTCTGCTCTCACAGGTTTGGGAAGGGGCAGAATGACGCTGGCACAGACTACGGGTGGCCTGAGGAGCCTGGAGCAGGAGGAGCCTTTTGACCTCTCACAGAAGCGAGGGGCGAAGGGGTGGGTGTTCCAATCGGATGGGGAGAGCGCCCGGGGCAGCCCCTGCCAGGAAGAGGAGGAAGAGGAAGAGGAGGAGGAAGAGGAGGAGGAGGAAAATTGCTGCGAGGTGGAGCCCTACAGCCCCCGCCTATCCCCCCAGAGCCAGCAGTTCTGTGCCCCCCAAGATCTGTCCACCAAGGCCGAGAGGACCCTCCAGGGGAGAGGGGAAGCCAGCAAGGAGGAGGAGGAGGAGAAGGAGGAAAAGGAGGAGGATGTGACTAAAGAAGAGCGAGAGGAGGATCCCCGTGGGGCAGCGGAAGGTGGCCGGGAGAGAGGGGAGACAGAGGGGATCTGCCGGGAAGAGTGCCTAAGCCTCAGGGTTTTTCAGAGCGCCCAGCGGGGTTCCTCTTTTTCTGATTACTTATACTTCAAGCACAGAGACGAGAGTTTAAAAGAATTACTGGAGAGGAAAATGGAAAAACAAGCAGTGCTTTTGGGTATCTAAGTGGACAGCTCTAAAATTACATTCGGAAGATGAGAGCTAGGCAGTGCAAATACAGCTTTCTGCATGATTGCCGTTCCCTGGAGACTGCTTTCCAAGCGACTCAGACTAAAGGAGCAGGGTCTGTCCTAGGTAATGTAGTTGCTTCTCAGGCGGTTTCTTGGGCCCTTCAGTCTTAAAAAAACACAGGCAGGGGCTTCAGTGTTACTTTAGGCATCTCACATGTAATAAACTGTGCATATTCTTCTGGATGTCTAACATAGCTGACCCTGAGGTGCTTTTAGACATTCTATTTTCCTTTGACTAATATGCAATACATGGTTTCTCTCTAATTGTAAAACAATGGTGCTTGACACATTACCTTATCAATAACTATTTAACTGAATTCATGAAAGTTATATTTTTCCAGTTAAATGAAAATATTATTAGTTGTATATATAAAAACAGCCTTTATTGCATAAACAAAAACACTGGAAATGACACAGAAGGGTGAGCTATTGAAAAGGATATTCTCAAGTAGCAGCTACAGATGTACAATAAAAATCTAAGAAGAAGATGAACAGCTTTCACTAAGGGGAAACCGCAACACGTAGATTCCTGCATGGGTCTCTCTCCTCTGCTTCAGCTCCTTTCATGAGTGGGACATTTGGAGCTCTTCGCAGATGACTGGGCAATGCTTAGGGGCCCTGGATCCTCAGACTGATGTCTCCTGTCCTAAGCAGAGTCCCCTTCTGGGGGCCGCTGCTGCTTTCTTTTGAAGCCTCATACCCCAGACAGTAGCTGCAGGAAGAGCTGTCGCTGGTGAAGTGAGGATGAGGGGCTGGGTGGAGGAATTCTCCCTAACACAAGCTCTGACTTGTTTGGGGTGTTAGAATAATTACCAGCCAATCACTATGCTGAAAACCTGGGCTATGTTCTCAATGCTGGCTACATATAAGAATCATCTATGAGAACCTTTCCAAAAATACCAAAGCCAAGGCCTTACCCCGAGATTCTGACCTAATGGTATAGAAGGAGCCCCTGAACTGATAGTTTCCAAATTGTTCCTTATGATATGTGCAGCCAGGATTGAGAAAGATTCACTGGGCTTGAAAAACACCCACCCAGCCCCCTTTCAGGGCTCCAGAAATATTTCTGCTCCTGGCTTCAGAGTGACTCAGCCCTAAAGTAGAAGGCAGGAGAGTCAGCAGTCATCACACTGACTCAGCCCTGCACACCTGCTCTGTAAGAGCCTGACGAGGACACCCCCCACCCCTATAGATACACACTTTGTGGACTAGAACACAGTGCCTATGATGTTCCTGACCACTTCATATGCTGAATGATGCGTAACTGGCTGTATGGAAACTCACTCCTCCTGCCCGAATACTGGAACCACAGTTGTGGGGGACAGAGATGGTGAGTTGGGCCTTGCAGATGGCCTTACTTAGGCACTGGCACTGAGTAAAGTGATACTAACAGAGGCTGCCTACATGGGACTGGCACACCTGACAGGACTGTGTTTGCATTTACATAAACCCTGCCCTTTGGTGAGGGTTTCAACATCTACTTGCAGAGCAAGGTACTGCTTCTCCTCCTCCCACACTTCCCAGGACATTTCTTTGGAAGAACTGATCCATTTCCATCAGCTGGATGCTGGCTTTTTCTCTCAACATTGGCACCTCCCCATCAGCCCCATCTTGTCCTCATCATTCACCGGTGTGCTTTGGCAGTCATTTCTCCTGCTACCACCCTGAAATCCCTTCTTTCAGCATCAGTGCCACCATGGAGTGCTACAGCTGTTTAGATTTCCTACTGTCACCTATGTTCTGAGGTCAGAGAACCTGCAAAGGAGATTACAGAGAGAACATTGTGGGTTTCTGCCATCGTAAGTACAACTGAGCCAAGAACTGCTCCAAGTGCTCAGAAGGCCAAGTTCTACTCTCTGTGAATGTAGCTCATAGGTGTCTTTGGTGATGATGATGGCCAGGAAGCTGGCAGGGTGGTTTGCAAGGACACTACCAGCTCTCAGGGGTCTCCTGTAATCATATTCATTCAGAAGCCACACATTGAGGACCCACCATGTGCTGTGCCTGACAAACTCCCAGTTGCCTCTGGCTGGAATAGGAGCCAGGAAGACATAGAGTAGTAGGCTCCAGACTTTTCCAACCAAAACAAATCCTGCAGAAGTGTTTGAGGAATCAGTTAATATTGAGTTGGAGAGAGCGTGGTCCAAAATGGTGGTTTTGAGTTGTGTTTTGAGGGGCCAGAGAACCCTGTTCTGCCCCTGCCAAGCTATTATAGGAGGGAGAAACACAGCTTTCTTGCCCACTCCACTCAAAGTGGCTCATTTTATCTGTCTTGTGTATTAGCATTCTCAGTAGAATTTCATTTGGAAAGAGAGAGAAAGTCTAGGGAAAGTTAACAAAAATTGTATTGTGCAGCGTGCTCTAAGGCATGTGTTTAATTTTTAACTCTGGAATGAGAGACTTAATGAGCTCTAACCTGGGGGCTGGGTTGGCAATGACCTTCTGAGGACCAAGGATGAAAGTTTGGTTTTGTACACTGACTAACCAACATGGAGGTTGGCCTGGGCCAACCCTTGTTTACATCTGTGGCCTCGGGGTAATTAATAATAGCACACCCTTAACTCTCAAAATATCACAGTTTGGGTAACAAATTACATGAACACTCCGTGTGTGAGGACAGAGCTGAGTGAAGGGTTGACTGCCTTCCCTGATAAGCTTATTATCCAGAATGAGAGCCCGAAGGAGGACCTATTGGGGCCCTCACTAGAGAATGAAGGAACAGGTCATTCAAGGCTATCATCCTCATGACCTTTTGAAACTCTGAAAATAGGTCAGGACCAAATGCTTTCCAGTCTTTGACCACTGTGCCTTGGAACGAGCCAACACATAAGCCAACTGCCATATTTTTCTTTTACCCATTATATTTAGGCCTATAATTATCTCTGTTATTGCCTTTCAATTCCTCTTTCATTCTCTCCTTTTAAAATTTTGACTCCCCATTGGCCATGCAACTGAAACTAACCTTTCATAAACCCAAAGAGTAACAGGTATATTGGTGTATTATTAACCACATGAAAAAGCTCAATGTGCATACTGTATTTATTAAGTCCCGGAGGCATTTAATAAAATACTAACATTGTGTTTTGAATTATGATCTTTGCTTTGCTAGAACAAAATGTAACAGAACTAACATTTAAAATCCTTTGCATATTTTGGACAACTTTACACCAAATGTTGATTTTGTACAGAATTCTGGCTTGCTGTTTAAAAAGTAAAACTCCAAGTATATAGCAAACCAAGTTGTGGATATTACTTTGGGCTTTAGTGAAAAGGCAGCTTACCTGAAAGTAGCATGTTGTAACCTATATTTTGTTAATTTAAGCAAATAAAGACATGTTGGAAAAACCGAGTTGATTATTTACAAGTACCTGATATTTTGTAAAGATGTATGGCGGTCACCATCTCACTTGTGCATCTCACTCTGCCAGTGGCTGGCTCCTCAGCCCCAGTGAGAAAATGGGTTCGGTTTTGCCTTCCTCCGCACTTCAGGAAGGATGAATGAACTTCAGCACATCTGCAAGCAAGTGACACCTTACTCATCCTGTTCTTTCTTACTCAGAAAGATTCATTCTTATGAGACGAGATCATCTCTCCCCACCACCACCCCTTTTCTCTCTCTATCATGTGATAGTGTAGCTATCTGGACACCAGGAAATTAACCCTCACCAAACACCAAATCTGCCTGAACATGGATCTCTGACTCTCCAGCCTTTGTGGCAACCAAATGCTTATGCTTTGAGCTACCCAGTCTATAGCATTTTATCAGAGTAGCTCAAATTGACTAGGACATGTGCCTTTTGCAGCAAAAGCACATTGTTCATTTACAATCACAAGTGGCCAAATAAGTGCCAAAGGAAGACTAAGTGAGTTTCCCAGCTTCCATTCTATTCTTCCATGAGCCACTGTGTAGAAACAGCCCTACTTCTTCCCAATGATCAGATCAGTCACCTCTGCCAAGACAGCAACTCCTCTCCTTGTCTGCTAGTCTTTGGAGACACAGAACAAAAGTACCCAGATGGCATCTGTAGCTTATAATTGAATGATACTTCTGCTATGTTCCTGGGTGAAAGTGTGTATTTTTTGAGGATAAGAGGATAAGAGCTTATATTTCTGAGAGCTCAGTTACAGGGGATAAGAAGTACAAAGCCACTCTTCCAAGTGTCACTGAGACTGATGGGTCCTATTTTCCACCCTTGGTCTCTGGACCCTTCCTACTGAGGACTTAGCACTATATAAAAGTCTTTGCTCCAATGCATACCCTAGAGGTTAGCACCCTACCCTTATAGAGTATTTCCTCCAAGAAGCTCTAGGGAACTGGCCACCTGTGAGAGAAACAGTAGATCCTTTGGCCCTGGACCCATCTCTGCACCTCATTTCCTGTGAAGAGAAGCTCATAGTTTGATATGATGTTATGTGTGATTCTGTGCTAGTCGAACAAGCAAACCCTTGTGCAGTAGTGCTAAGTTCTTATAAGCAGGGAAGGAAAACTTTTACCCAGAATGTATCTATTCCTGCTTCAATGAATGGCTGATCCTTCAGGATGAAAGGAACTCAAAGAAGTCAGCCTTGCACTAAATGACTGATCACGCTTCTTGAGCAATGGTATCATACTGGAAGGTAAGCATCAGTCCTCATGTTGGCATATGACTCCTTAACGATGGGCTTGGTAAATGCAGGCCATGCTGTTAAGCCTATGTGTAACTTCCATCTCTGCCACTGTGACTACTTCATTCAAGTGCTCTTTGTTCTAATAGCTCCAGAGTAGTTATTGAGAGAAACTGGATGAAGCCAACCGGCAAGGTCATTTTGTATGCCAACTTACTGAGTGTCTCTCCCAGGATCGATATTAAGATGTGATACAAAGATTTTCATATTTTGTGTTCACTCCCACAGGTCTACCCACAGAACTATGCTAAACAGTGGATAACAGTGAATTTCTTTTGACTGATCAGCAATCGTTCCGATCAGCAATGGCCTCTCTTAGTAAGTGGCTTTTAGTCTGAGAAGTGAAGGATACAGGGAGCCATGGGAAGCAAGAAGGGCACTCCAGGTCCTGTGGTATAAAGGAGCATGACTGAGGAGAGAATATAGGGTGAAAGAACCAACAGCAGAGGGACACTGATGCAATGTAAGGCAGACATGGAAAGCCATAGATACCAATCCCCAAAGCAAATGCAATTGTTATGTATACCAAGAAGAAATATTTCAAAAGAAAGCAAGGAAATGAAAAACTGAGATTCCCATTTTTGAAAGCTCTGGCTCCAAGGTAGAAGATAATTGCTGAAAGACAGTCAAGAGGCAATGTTAATGTCCTGAGAGAGAGAACATTGGCCTGAACTAGGGAAGGGAGCAAAGAATTTAGAAGGGGGTGGACCAGAGCCCATTTTGGGAGCCCAATACACTTTATACTCAAGACAAATTTTAATAATAATATGCCCATTTTTCTAAGCACAAAACAAAATGCAACTTGATGGCCTCTCCTCATATAATAACTAACAGGATCAATTAGATTTTCATAGCTCTCATAACACCCATGCTTGTTACTTTGTTGGCAAGACAGTATATTTACTAAACGGTGTACTAGGTATGTAGGATTAAGTCTGCCTTTTAGTTTTGAACTAGGTTACAGTTGGTGAAGGTGTAAATAGTCAAAAATGAAAAAGGCAATAGTTTCTCAGACACAGAAGTTGGAAAGAAATGGCAGAAGAAAAGACAAATGAACCTAGAGTTAGAAAATCAGATCAACAAAAGGGACTAGAACCCTAAGACCGTGCAGTGAGGCTGCATAATCCTTTGCGTGTCCATAGCTCCTGAAGGCACCTGTGGTCCAGGAATGCAATAATGTGCTCATGATCATGAACTTACATTATCAAAGGCAAACTAATCATCTCTTAATACCACATGTGTTAACTAAGTGCGATCCAAACATTTCCATTTTTTAAAATGTCGTTATCAAAGGGTGACAGTCCAGTTTTCTGGAAAATCTGACCCAGTGCGGTTTATATAGCCACAGTGAAGAATAACGAAGATATTGTTACGTTTCTACTTCCAGAGTCAATTGGCTTAAGGCACCTCTGACAACACCTCAAGAAGAAACAAAAACAAAAATATGTGGAAGGAATTTGTCCCTGTCCTTAAGGAACACACAGTTCTTAGCCAGCCTGTGGAGAGCAGCAGGGACATGGCGAATCTGCTTTCTCAAATTTCCAAAACCTTAAAGCTAAAAACCTGCCAGCCCTGTGGAAAACCCAGGTGCAAACACAGCCTGGTTCCCTGAGGCACTGCGGCACTCTTACATTTGTATTTTATGTTATTGCACATTAGAGCTGAGCTGAGTGTTACTTCCACGCCCATTCCAAACTCCCTCTGCAAGTGGAGGAAGACCTGCTCCTGTGATAGCTGGGGAGTGACCCTTTTGGCATCCCGGGGGACTCAGTATCAGTGGCGCTCACTGTTTCCTCTTCCCTAGATTCAACAATATATTAAGGGAGGAAAAAAAAAAAGAGAGGAGGTTGGCTCTTTTCATGACTTTCCTTTTTAATTTTTGTTGAAAATGGAGCTATGTTCTCTTGATCCTTCAAACAAATGGAGGGGAAGTGGAAGCCCCGAAGTTTCTCTGATGTTCCCCGGAGAGGGTGGCTGTGTTTGTAGTGCGATGTGGGAAAAGTTCTTGTGTATCTGCTGTATTGTCAAGTTGGACCAAAAGTGATTTGCACTAGGAAGTGTGGGATGAATAGGATTTCTATGTCCGAGAAAGTGAGGGAGCTAGAGTCTTTGAATCAAAGATCTCCATTTGCTCTCTATCGCTCTGACATGCTTCCCTTGACCTCTGCCCTCCATCTTTATTTAGTGATGAAAGAAACCCAAGAGCACACTCTGAGCTTGAGCTGAACAATACATCCAAGCAGAAGTCTCCTTGCTATTCAGACTGCGCTTGGGCAAGGCGGCTGAGAGGGTGAGGTGTTGGCAGGACTTGGCAGAAAGCGCAGAGGCAAAGTGAGAGGGAGGGCTATTGAAATTCCTGGCATCATACCTGAAGAATCCTTTTTAACTGATGCTTGTAATATGCAGTGTGAGTCTTTTCACAGAGTGGATCTTAATAAACAAATGGCCTGTGGAAGGAAAATGCATAGCTACATTAAGACACATTTAAAAGAATTATAAGGATATTGGTTCCAGTGCAGCAATTCATCCTATTAAGCAATTTTGTTGCTTCTAGAAAGTAGTCATAATGAAACCTGTCTCCAGCCTTTGTCAAATGAGGGGATAAATGAGGTAAAATCTATTAATCATCCTAGCTTTAGAGAAACAGTCCCTGTGCCATTTATTATTCTTGAAGGACAGCTCCTCTTCTAACCTGTAGCAAGTCTAGAGAAAATTAAAAATAAATAAATAAATAAAACTTTTCCCTTCCCTTTTTACCTGTCAGAATAATATTTAAAATAGCCGTAGTTTTGTAAGTCCCCATATGTACAGTAATGAATCAATTGCCTCTTTAACACCGTAAAAACCAATTGAAAGCAAATATGAAATCCCGGCAGTGGCATAGCCCTCATAGGGAGAAAAAGCAGTTATACAGAAAACTTGGATTGTTACATTGTCAGCTTCCCAGGGGACATTCAATAAATAGTTATTAAACACAATGATGCATCTCTCTGAAGCAAGTACTGTGACAGGCTGGGATCCCCTTAGAGGTCACTGTGTGAAGACACTGGTGCTTGTCGAGATTTTACACGGCTTGTGTTTCCAAGAGATCTGGATGCCCCCACCCCACCCCCACACACTGTTCTGGCCCTTACTTGCCTCACTTTGGATCTCAGGGTTATCTCCTCAAATGCTTTGCCTCATTCTAACAGGTAGCTCTGTGGGCAACAGCTGTGGCCACCACCATACCACCTTCAGCAAATGTAGCCACTCTCTCTGCTTCTCCCCCGGATGCTGTCAGAAGAGTCTAAGATGGATCCATGAATTTACCTTCAAGGGGATGTGTGCTGTTCAAAACTATGCATCTGTTCCACAATGGTTCATTAAAACTCTATGGAAGAGAGTCTGGCGGATGGGATGGGATGGGGCTTCCAGAATAGTCTTGTGAGGAACCTAGAAACCTGTCCCTCGGAGGACACACGATTAAACTGGCAGAAATTAGCTAGGCTATTACGTACAATCTTTGATGCTTGATGCAAGTGCATCCAACAACTCAAGAAATGCTTATTCAACAAAATGTACTGATATCAGTAGGAACAACGTGAGGCCATGACAATGAAGCCAGGGGCAGCACCCTCCCACTCACCCAGCTGGATGCTGTGGAAGAGGATTCTGGGGCCTCACAGCCAAGAGGCAACT